GGGGGGGTGGAGAGGTGGCAGGAGAACCCATATCATGCCTATAGGCTCAGCAGTGCTAGTGCTATGTCCAAAAGAGACTTGGGGGTCATGATTGACCACAAAATAAATATGAGCCACCAATGTGCAGCTGGTAAAGTGAATAAAACCCTAGATTGTATCTATTGATGCATCTCAAACAAGACCCAAGATGTCATTCTCCCACTTTATTTGGCCTTGGTGAGGCCACAGCTAGAGTACCACATCCAATTCTGGGCTTCACAATTTTAAAAAAGGATGTGGAGGAACATGCACATGATCAGAGGTCAAGAGAGCAGGCCTTTATGAGGAGAGGCTGAGGCACAGGACTCTTCAGCTTGGAAAAGCATAGGCTCAGGGGGAACTTGGTGGCAGCCTATAAGTATAGTAGGGGTGTACATGGGGATCTGGAAGAACACCTGTTCACCAGGCCTCCCCTAGGGAAAATAAGGTCTAATGGTCACAAACTGCTGGAAGACTGTTTTTTAGACTGGGCATAAGGAAGAACTTCTTTACCATCCGAGTCTTCACTTCTGGGAGGAGTCTATTCCAGAATCTGGTGCAAACACAACTTGAACACATCCAGAGTAGGTGTTTGGATGACTTTTTTATATTGCTGGGGTCATCTGATCCCAGCTGACTCCCCGCCCTTTGGGCAGGGGGCTGGACCAGATGATCTTGCAAGGTCCCTTCCATTCCTAATATCTACAAAATCTATAAGCAGCAGCCCAGGGTCCAGCTGTTTACTGCTGTGGTGTGGATTTGCCAGGGGCTAATATTCTCATGCCCCTCTAAGCTGGCTCCTGGGCCTAGTGCCCACTTGCACACCTCGCACTATGCTACTGGTTCAAAAATTCAGCTGACTCGGATCTTATAACTAGGCCAGTAGAGTCTGGTCGGTATTACCATGTTCTAAACAGCTCCTTGTTTTCATTGCAGGAAAAGCAAAGAAGCATGTTCTTCTCTATATTTTATTTGTCCATTAATGCTGGAAGTCTCATATCTACTATAGTCACCCCAATTCTCAGAGGTAAATCTGCACCATTTTTTGCCTACAAAATTTTCTGTCTGTCTGGTTCTTTGATTTAGGAGCCGTGTTGGTAGTTTGAAGTTTTGTTTCTAGCATGGACTTGTTCAAAGTTTTGCACTATTGACACAACTGATGCTAGTTGGCCTCTTGGCAGTCTGAGAGGTTAAAGTTTGAATAGCTGTGGAGACTTTTTCCCCTCTCGATGGGGAAGAAATTTAGGTCGGAGTTGAGAAGGAACTTTTTGACTTTATCAGACACTTGGCTGGTTTAGTTAGGGATGACTGGTGCCTTGAGCAGGTAGCTGGACCCCTTCCAGCCATACTTTCCATCTACTTAAGATCATAGGAAATGAACTATACTATGCTGTAGTATGGGGTACCCTGCCTTTTGGGATGGCTGATTCTCAGACAGGCCAAATATTAAAATTAGAAGTGGCCTGGTAGGGGTAAGAGGCACATGGTCACATCCCCTTCAGCTGTGAGGTGTACTGTATAGTGAACTCTGAGCTCACCAACAGGTCTGTCTGGGCTCTTACCAGAGCCATTGCTTTTGTGCAGCTTTAGAGCCTAGGGGTGAGTGCTACTGCCACTTGCCTCCCCTTCTCCCTGTCAAATTCAGCAGCAGAGGAAAAGGGGGGACAAGTGGTGGTGGTGGCACCCCCCCCCCCCCCCCCCCCCCGGGAGTACAAAAAAAGGGGAAAAAGCCCACCCACCCCATTG